GGGTCTGTGAGACAAGAAAGGACAAAGGGGGGGGGTAAAGGGGACAATGGGGGTGGCCCACACAGGTGACCCAGGACACGCCCCCCTTTATTGCCACTGAGACATCGGGGACCCCCAAAACCCGCGGGCTGGAGTCCCCAGGGGCCAGCTGGACTGGCCAGGGGTCAGCTGGCCACCACTGTGTCCCCTGCTGTCCCCAAGGTGGCCACTGGGCCATGGTGGCCACTGGGCCATGGTGATGTCCCCATGGTGGTCACTGTGGTGGTCACTGTGGTCACTGGGCCATGGCTGTGTCCCCAGGGTGGTCACTGGGCCATGGTGATGTCCTCATGGTGGCCACTGGGCCAAGGTGGTCACTGGGCCATGGTGGTGTCCTCATGGTGGCCACTGGGCCATGGTGGTGTCCTCATGGTGGCCACTGGGCCATGGTGGTGTCCCCAGGGTGGTCACTGGGCCATGGTGGTGTCCTCATGGTGGCCACTGGGTCATGGTGGTCACTGGGCCATGGTGGTCACTGTGGTGGTCACTGGGCCATGGTGGTCACTGGGCCATGGTGATGTTCTCATGGTGGTCACTGGGCCATGGTGGTCACTGGGCCATGGTGATGTTCTCATGGTGGTCACTGGGCCATGGTGGTGTCCTCAGGGTGGCCACTGTGATGGTCACTGTGGCCACTGGGCTATGGTGGTCACTGGGCCATGGTGACGTCTCCATGGTGGTCACTCTGGTCATTGGAACATGGTGGTCTCCTCAGGGTGGTCACTGGGCCATGGTGGTATCCTGGGTGGCCACACTGGTCACTCTGGTGGCCCCTCAGTGCTCCATGGCCGTGTCCCAGGTGGCCACACTGGTCACTCTGGTGGCCCCTCAGTGCTCCATGGCCGTGTCCTGGGTGGTCACTGTGGTCACTCCGGTGGTCACTCAGTGCTCCATGGCCGTGTCCCGGGGTGGTCACTGTGGTCACTCAGTGCTCCATGGCCGTGTCCTGGGGTGGTCACTGTGGTCACTCAGTGCTCCATGGCCATGTCCCAGGTGGCCACAGTGGTCACTCCGGTGGTCCCTCAGTGCTCCATGGCCGTGTCCCAGGTGGCCACACTGGTCACTCCGGTGGCCCCTCATTGCTCCATGGCCGTGTCCTGGCGCAGCCTGGCCCTCACCACGCTGTCCAGCACGGCCCTCAGGCCGTGGCACGCGGCCCGGGCAGCGTCCAGCACGGTGCCCAGCCTGTCGTGGTGCAGGCGGGCGCTGAGCTGGCACAGGGCCAGCTGCTCGCCACCGGCCACCGTGGCCACCACCAGCCTGGGGCCGCCGGCCGCCTCCTCGGCCGCGCTCAGGTCGCTCAGGGCCAGCGGGGGCCCGGCCTGGGGCTCGGCCAGCCCGGCCGATCCGGCCACCACTGCCCCCCGCAGGGCAACGCCGGCGTCCAGCAGGGCCAGCCCGGCCGCGCTCACGGTGGCCCCCAGCTCGCCCCCGTCTGCCTGCAGCACCTGGGGGGAAATGGGGTCAGGGGTGTCACAAAAATGCCAAAAATTCACCCAAAAATACCCAAAATATCCCCAAAATCCCATAGAGCCCACGGGCCCCGTCTGCCTGCAGCACCTGGGGGGGAACGGGGTCAGGGGTGTCACAAAAATGCCAAAAATTCACCCCAAAATACCCAAAATATCCCAAAATATCCCCAAAATCCCATAGAGCCCACAGCCCCTGTCTGCCTGCAGCACCTGGGGGAGAATGGGGTCAGGGGTATCACAAAATACCCCAAAATATTCCAAAATATTCCAAAATATCCCAAAATCCCATAGAGCCCACAGCCCCCGTCTGCCTGCAGTACCTGGGGGAAAATGGGGTCAGGGGTACCCCAACAATGCCAAAAATATCCCAAAAATATCCCCCCAAATCCCCCAGGACAGCCCCAAATCACCTCAGGACACCCTAAATCCCCTCCAGGACCCCCCCAAACCCCCCCAAAACCTGGTTGGTGA